ACACTGGAACAATGAATGCCCAACTAATCGCCCCCATCGCTCGAGTGCTCTGAGCATTTCGTTAGAAGTGAACTGAGTTCCGTTGTCGTTCAAACACACGCGAGGTTACCCGAAACGCGAGAAGTGTTCGCGTTCAAGTGAATAATTACTTTAGAGGTGGCGGAGCCTAATGGGTAAGCTTCAATCCATATGCTATAGCAATCAGTGACTACAAGTATAGACGTTTTCCCTCTAGCAGTTCTAGGGTAGAGGTCCATCAAATTTATACTTATAACTTCCCATGGCTGTCGTGGTTTTCTAGGTCTTAGAGGGTCTTCAGGTTTTCTATTTAGGGGTTTTGTGCAAGCGCAAATGTGACATGCCCTAACATATTTCCTAACGTCCTCTTTTATATTTTTCCAATAAAACCTTTGTCGAACAACCCTGAAAGTTTCTTTCCAACCAAGATGACTTGCTAGAGAGTGATCGTGGTACCACCAAATTGTTATTTGTGATTTACTGAGTGGTACCACTATAGATGGGATTGGTGAGGGGTCGTCTTTTGATATACCACCGAATTTCCGGAGGAAGCCATCAAACACGATAAAATATTTCTTTTGGGCTTTGGACCGTCGTGTATTGTTGGCCGGGCAATCGGAGGATATGCTATCCATTACAGATTTTACATATAAGTCATCCAATTGCCACGATATTAACTCTTTCTCAGAAACAGGTGTTTCGATTGCTGTATAACGCTTTTGTGTCTCACTTAACTTTTTGCTAGCGTAGGTGATTACTTGTCTTTCCTCAGGTCTGTCACCCCGTTGGAAAAGAACAGCTCCTACACCTATTTCGCTTGCATCGGTTTGGAGGCAAAAGGGTTTACCATAGTCAGGAGGACAAATCTTTGGGGAGTCGCACAGGGCGTTCTTTATGGTGTCAAACGCCTTCTGTTCGTTACCTGACCATTTCCATCTAATACCTTTTTTTAATAGATGAGTGAGGGGTACGATGATGTCAGCATAGTTGTCTACAAACTGGCTGTACCAATTGCATTATCCCAGAAATCTGCGAAGCTCCTTTACTTTACGTGGAGTTGGGAATTCTTTGATGACCAGAAGTTTTTCGGGTTGTTTTTGAATTCCGTCTGCGTCTACCAAGTGCCCAAGTATCATGTCATTGATAGTATTCTATTTGTCGGGTGGATAAGTGTATGGGTTTTAAGCAATAGGTGTGTGGTTCCTAAGTTGGATTGCCAACACCGCCTAATATTTTCCACACTTCTACTAGCACTTCACCTGGTCCTATTGCTTTATACTTTTTCATTGACGCCACAGCCTCCCATACCTCTTTCTCGCTAATTAAATCTACCAGCCCCTCGTTTCACGAGATATCCTCTAATGTTTTTTTTGGATATTCAGTAATTTTTCAAAATACTCTTTCCACCTTTTTTTCAAATTATCATCACTCAAGGCTCTTGAGTCAAGAGTACCCTTTTTATACGCCTTAGTTAGAGATAAACTTTAGATCTTTTTTTTCTTACTTTTGCAAATGTATAGACTTCTCTTTCGTCTTCCATTGTTCCTAGACTATCAAACAACTCATCATACCATATAACTTAGGAAAAAACAAAAACTTTTTTTGTTTGTGTTGTATATTTTTGTGTTAGTTGAACTGGTTTATCTTTAAAACTAGTTATTAAAAATAATCAGTTAAAAATTATATTAATTTTTGAAAAAATCTAGAAAATTATAATTATTGCTATATAAATATAATATAATATTAACTGAAAAAAGCTATGTTATTTTAACAGAAAATTAAATTAGTGAAGTTAAAAAGTTTTCTAAAAAATAGTCAACTAGTAAAGTTTAATAATTAAAAAAAAAATAGTTTTATAACTTAAGTTTCACTTTTTAATATTTTAATTCCTACCAATGAATAAATGTATATAGAACATACTTCTTTCATTCTATAATAACCAATAATAAAATATCTAAAAAATCAACAATAATAGAAATATTCACAACTAATGACAAAAATTATCTTTACATTTTTTTAACATAAAATTCTTTCAATTATTATAAAAACACAGACAAATAAATGACAAAAATACCAATTGACTAATAAAATAAATGCTAATAACAAGAAATGAATTAATAAAATAATGTAAATAGAAACTTTGTTGAAATGGTAACTGTGAGTTATAAGTAGTGAAATTACTAGTAAATTGACTTTTGAAAATGTTCCGGAAAGTCTGACACTTTTATATATATCTTAAATTAAAGCTAATGGATTTACTTTATTATGCAAAAAAAAAATTTCGGACTTTATTTTATCTTCACGGTGAAAATGGCTACCGAATGCTATTATTGTGTGAAAATTCTCGAATTCATTTTTTACATTTTTAACTTTATAATGCTATAACTTATTGAAAAGTGTATGGATCAACACAATATTTTTATGAGAAATAATATTTTTTAATATTCCCTTTTTCATTCGACATACTTTATCTAAATTAGGATATTAATAATGAACTAGCAGATAATGTAGCTTTTGGAATAATTCACCAATTTTTTAAAATTAAATACTGTCTAAAGATTTGCATCGAAGCGTTTTTTTTTTATAGTGATTTTAATCACTGTCAGATATGATTATACTTGATCCATCTATGCCACGTCATCACTGTTCCGCGACCCCCCTGTGCTGGGTTTTTATTGTTAACCTTGATCTTCCAACATTTCAACCATGAATTCTTGCCATTTTATTGTTCTAATCAGTTAAAGTTACTTGGTGTATGTTCCGTAACTTTATTTTAGTCAAATAGCATTCGGTAGTCATTTTAACCGTGAAGACAAAATACATTTTTTTTTTCCATAATAAAGTATATTACATTAACTTTAATTTAAGTTATATATAAAAGTGTCAGACTTTCCGGAACACTTTCAAAAGTTAATTTTTCGCGAAAATGTTGTCATTTTGAATCCTCCCTTGTGTGCAGGTAAAGGGTTAAATTTATAAAAAAAAAATATAACATATGATAGATAAAGACATCATGCATTTATAAAGAAAAAATTACATTTATTTGGTCATTTTGAAAAAGTTATGACAATGCTAACTAAAAAAAATTTTGAAAATTTCGAAAATTAGCGATTTTTAAATTTGTAATTTTTTTGAAGGTTTCCCCAATTTACGGGCAACGAGGTATTTTTTTTTTCAATTTTTGAGCGTAATGTCTTCGACTCAAAGATACAATTTGTGATCTTTTGACGTAACTTTAAAAGAAATTGGTTCGACGAGAGCTGAGAAAAAGTGGTAACAGACACCAAAAAAAATGAAACACATAGTAAAATTAATACCTTCTCAGTTTTGCATTGAAGGAAAAATTCCTACAAATTTTAAATTACATTTTTTTCTTAGAAATAGCACACAAACATATTATTTGATTGTCAGTAAAATAAAATATCAACTTATAGTATTGACATATTTAATAAAAAATATAAGTATAAAGTTTAACTTTATATTGTATACATTAACATGGTTAGCTTTTATGTTTCAAAGTGTAATTTGGAAAGATAATAGGATATTTAATTACAATATAGACAATCATATAAATTAATTTACTTTGTTGCAACATATTTGGATAAACTAAAATTTTAATTTGATTGAAAACTAATTAATGCCAATTAGTAAAACAAAGAACATTATTTCATACACAAACAGTTAATTATGAATATGGATTAGTCAAATTAATTTGTAATTATTAGCCCAATAGACAATATCTTATTTCAAATAAATAATGGTTTTGACCCTTCATTGACATATAATTATGGTAACGAAGGAGTAGAAGGCAATCTCCACTACTGTAATTTCTGAAACATATTTGCACCCCACACCACCAAAAAAAAACAAATTTCTAAATAATATAATCAAATTTGCTAATAATGAATTAACCAAGTACCGTCTAATATTTATTCCAAATCTAGAAAAAAAAAAATGCAAAACTAATCAAAAAATATTTGTGCTAATAAATTGAATCAAACTATAAAATAAGTAATCTAATCTAAGTCACGTATAAAAAGTTCAGGAATTATAACAAAAATTAAATTATGAATTTAGTTTAAAGTTATGATTTATAGTGTAGAATTATATAAATGTGCGGCAGATTTTTTAAAAAATGACGTGATTAGGTAAATACTATTCCTAATACGCAAATTGAATTCTTTTTTAGTTTGTTACAAAAGTTCACAAAAAAATCAATTCTACCAACATTTTATATAAATATATAAAATCTGAATTTAAATATATCACTTCAATAAATTTTTTTTTTCATTAGTTAATATCATTAATAATACATTCTTTAATATTAATATCTCATTAATATTCATGTTAAAAGCAAAAATGGTATGCAATTCAAAAAATTTTACTGAAATTCAATTAATAGTGTTTGAAAATCATTTTCAGAACAGTTTCAGAATAATAAGTATTTTAGCATATATTCTTTTATTCGTCAATAAAGGTAAAACTATTTATTGAAAACAAATTTTTAAGTTATTCACTTATTGAAACAAAATTTAACTACTTTTATAATTTAACAGGTTTTGGAATATATAATGAACAAAAATCGAGTGAGAAAAAAATTCAATTGTTATTATACTACTAAATTTGAAATTTTTTATTATCTAATAATAACATAAACTTAATTAAAACTCCAATAAAATGAAATTTTCTGAATAGAATATTATTCACATAACGCTTTATTATTTTTTAGATGATACATTATATACAGCAGGTAAAAAATTACCAAATAATATTTATCACAAATAACTTGTTTTTTTCATTATGGAAATTAAACTTTTTAATTCACTTAAACTCCGAAAATTTCATTGTAAATCTTTTTCATATGATTAAATAATTATTTTTCACCTTAGAAAATAATAAGTATAATATTCATTTTTTCTATATACAATAGTAAGTTTTTTCACTTATTATGATCAAATTTAAGTTTTTTTATAATTTAACAGGTGAACCAACACCTATTGAACAGAAATCGAGTGAGAATAAAATTCAATTGTTATTATACTACTAAATTTACAATTTTTTAATATCTACTAAGAATTTAAATCTAATTATGTACCATAAAAGTGAAATTTTCTAAATGAAATATTTTTTAACATAACGCTTTATTATTTTTTAGATGATACATTAAATACACCAGGTAAACATTATAAAAAACATTTATCATAAATAACTTGTTTTTTCCATTATGGATGTTAAACTTTTTAATTTACTTAAACCTCAAAAAATTCAGTGTAAATCATTTTCTTATGATTAAATAATTATTTTTCACCTTAAAAAATAATAAATATAGTTATCATTTTTTCTATATACAATAGTGAGTTTTTTCACTTATTATGATCAAATTTAAGTTTTTTTATAATTTAACAGGTTTTGGAATATATAATGAACAAAAAACGAGTGAGAATAAAATTCAATTGTTATTATACTACTAAATTTGCAATTTTTTATTATCTAATAATAACATAAACTTAATTTAAACTCCATTAAAATGAAATTTTCTGAATGAAATAATTTTTAACATAACGCATTATTTTTTTTTAGATGATACATTAAATACACCAGGTAAAAATTACCAAATAATATTTATCACAAATAACTTGTTTTTCTATATAGATATTGAACTTTTTAATTTACATAAACCTCGAAAAATTCATTGTAAATAATTTTCATATGATTAAATAATTATTTTTCACCTTAGAAAATAATAAGTATAATATTCATTTTTTCTATATACAATAGTAAGTTTTTTCACTTATTATGATCAAATTTAAGTTTTTTTATAATTTAACAGGTGAACCAACACCTATTGAACAGAAATCGAGTGAGAATAAAATTCAATTGTTATTATAACACTAAATTTACAATTTTTTAATATCTACTAAGAATTTAAATCTAATTATGTACCATTAAAATGAAATATTTTTTAACATAACGCTTTATATTTTTTAAGATGATACATTAAATACACCAGGTAAACATTATAAAAAAACTCAGTGGTGGGGGGGGGGTCGTGGCATAGATGGATCAAGTATAATCATATCTGACAGTGATTAAAATCACTATAAAAAAAAAACGCTTCGATGCAAATCTTTAGATAGTGTTTAATTTTAAAAAATTGATGAATTATTCCAAAAGCTACACGATCTGCTAGTTCCTTATTAATATCCTTATCATAATAATATTAATAATAATATTAATCATAATAATAATATTTATCATAAATAACTTGTTTTTTCCATTATGGATGTTAAACTTTTTAATTTACTTAAACCTCGAAAAATTCATTGTAAATTATTTTCATATGATTAAATAATTATTTTTCACCTTCGAAAATAATAAGTATAATATTCATTTTTTCTATATACAATAGTAAGTTTTTTCACTTATTATGATCAAATTTAAGTTTTTTTATAATTTAACAGGTGAACCAACACCTATTGAACAGAAATCGAGTGAGAATAAAATTCAATTGTTATTATACTACTAAATTTACAATTTTTTAATATCTACTAAGAATTTAAATCTAATTATGTACCATTAAAATGAAATTTTCTAAATGAAATATTTTTTAACATAACGCTTTATTATTTTTTAGATGATACATTAAATACACCAGGTAAAAATTACCAAATAATATTTATCACAAATAACTTGTTTTTCTATATAGATATTGAACTTTTTAATTTACATAAACCTCGAAAAATTCATTGTAAATAATTTTCATATGATTAAATAATTATTTTTCACCTTAGAAAATAATAAGTATAATATTCATTTTTTCTATATACAATAGTAAGTTTTTTCACTTATTATGATCAAATTTAAGTTTTTTTATAATTTAACAGGTGAACCAACACCTATTGAACAGAAATCGAGTGAGAATAAAATTCAATTGTTATTATACTACTAAATTTACAATTTTTTAATATCTACTAAGAATTTAAATCTAATTATGTACCATTAAAATGAAATTTTCTAAATGAAATATTTTTTAACATAACGCTTTATTATTTTTTAGATGATACATTAAATACACCAGGTAAAAATTACCAAATAATATTTATCACAAATAACTTGTTTTTCTATATAGATATTGAACTTTTTAATTTACATAAACCTCGAAAAATTCATTGTAAATAATTTTCATATGATTAAATAATTATTTTTCACCTTAGAAAATAATAAGTATAATATTCATTTTTTCTATATACAATAGTAAGTTTTTTCACTTATTATGATCAAATTTAAGTTTTTTTATAATTTAACAGGTGAACCAACACCTAATGAATAGAAATCGAGCGAAAATAAAATTCAATTGTTATTACACTACTAAATTTGCAATTTTTTATTATTTAATAAGAACATAAACTTAATTTAAACTGCATTAAAATGAAATTATCTGAATGAAATATTTTTTAACATAATTCTATATTATTATTTAGATGATACATTTAAAACACCAGGTAAAAATTACAAAATAACATTTATCACAAATAATTTGTTTCTTTACATACGGTTAATTAGTTGCTTAATTTACTCAAACTCGGTAAAATCATTATATTACGTTTTGATATGATTAAATATTTACGAGGTGTGATAAAAAAATACCCGGTTTCTTCAAATAAAACTTTATTAACTCAATATTATTCCATATACACATTATCACCTTCAATATCATCTCCCTGGGAAGCAATACACCGCTGTCATCTTCTTTTCCACTTTTGAAAACATTCCTGGTAGGCACTAATTGGAATGTCCTTTAGATCGATTTTCTTATTTTGTTTTATGTCATCAATTGTTTGAAAACGACGTCCTTTGAGCATAGATTTTAATTTCGGAAACAAAAAAAAGTCGCTTGTGGCCAGGTCGGGTGAATATGGTGGTTGTGGAACTACTGGAGTTTGATTTTTCGCTAAGAACTGACAAATGAGCTGTGGGTCGGGACGTTATTGTGATGCAATATCTAAGAACCACTTTTCCAATTTTCTGGCCTTTTTTTTCTAACATTTTCACGTAATTTTTTCGTGATTTCTAATTAAAAATGGTGATATACTGTTTGTCCTTGAGGCAACCATTCACAATGAACTATACCACGAAAATGAAAAAAGGTGATTAACATGGCTTTTACATTTGATTTCACCTGCTTTGCTTTTTTTGGTCTAGTGAATTTGCTGATTTCCACTGGGACGATTGACGCTTGGTTACATCATACCCGTAAATTTAAGTTTCATCATCAGTTATAATATTTTTTAAAAAGTCTAGGTCAGTTTCTGCTCTTTCAAAAAGTTCTTGAGAGATGATATTTCGGTTTTGTTTTTGTTCATCGGTTAAGAGACGAGGAACAAATTTGGCTGCGATTCGGCTTATGCCCAATTCTTTGATTGATATTTCTTGCAAGAACCAAAAGATATTCCGACGTCTTCTACAACTTCTCTGATAGTTAATCGACGATTATTTCGTATAATTTTACGAACAAGAGCAACAATTTCATTTGTTTTACTGGTCGAGCATCTACCAGGTAGTTCATTATTCTTAATGAATGTCCTGAATGCTTCGATGCAAATGTTTAGACAGTATTTAATTAAAAAAAATTGGTGGATTATTCCAAAAGCTACATGATCTCTTATTTCCTTATTTATATCCTGATTACAAATTTTATGATTTATAAGTGTAATATATATACATGTTAGGGTGGCCGCTATTTACTTTTGAACAATAATTTTTTTGAGAAATTTCAGGAGTGCCGGGCGTAAATTTGTTTCTTTTATGTCTAATGGTAATCTTTAAAAAATTTGAGCTATATACTCCTTAATTAACTGGCACACATAAAGCTAAAAGTTTCGGAAAAATATGAAAAATTCCAGTGTTTTACATTTTTAGGCTACAGACATAGTTTAACGAAAAATATTATTATATATAATATTGTAGCTATTGTAATTTTCTATAAAAAAACTGTTCTTAAAATTTCGCGTTTAGTTAATACTTTTTGGTTAAAATAATAAAACTCGAAAATACTGGTTAATTATACAAATTTCCAATTATTTGGTTTTTTGTAATTATCTAGTTAAATTTTTGCATTACAAAAAAAATGTTAACATAATATTTGTTTAAAATAATTTTTAAAATAAAAAAGGTTATTAGATAATTTCGCTTTAAACTGATAATTTTTGAAGTATTGATAAATATAGTAAAAATATTTTATCGATATGTTCTAATTTTTATAACGTGAACTATTTTGTACTATTTATATCATTTTGAGCCATTATTATAAACCATTGCACAAGTCGTGTTGATCCAGCACATAGCTGAACACTCCACTTGTGCATATTCGGGGCAATTATTATAATAACAATCAGTCGTAATTTCGTCGCCGTACTATAAATTATATATATTAATATTACAAATATTTTCACGATTATTTATGACAATTATAATAAACCACTAATAAATATTAAATACTAAAGTTGTTTCTTAAATCTTTCTCAATAAGTTTAAGAACCAAACTACAATACTTCAACTTAATTACGTCAATAAAAGTACAACAGACGACCCGACATCGCTCGCCGACAACTCACACAAGGTAAAACTAACTCAAGTAATTTGTGACAGCGGAACTAACCGACATCACAACATCATGATTTCTGGATTCCGTTTGATAAACCTGTTTACTGATAATTTTTCTAAGTACAATAACAAAAAAAAAATATCTTAGAATGAAAATAATATCATTAACAAAGTTATAAGACGTGATAACACAATATTTATCTAGTTTCTGAACTTTATATCTCTACTAGCGATTGTCTTTTTTTATATTATAATAAGTATCAATTTTTTAATTGTGTTAAATATGTCGTCAATTCACCAAACAATTTTTCTTGTTGGATTTTTTAAACATCAAATAACCGGAAGTAAATTACCTTCGAATGGTGACTGTTTCCGTGTTATATTCTATAATATGGGAATTTTCAAGCTTAACTTTAATGTCAGTGCATCATTGATTATTGAAGAATGTATTATATACTGGAAAAAAGCAAAAGTTCCTATACAAGAACTACATAAATATAAATTGAAACTACAAAAACTTTATGAGGTGTGGCAATCACTCTCCAAAACTATAAATAGAACAAGTGAAAGTTTGAATAAACAGCGAACTGAATTTAGCGATTCTTTAAATGATTTGTTCGATATAGCACATAGAGATGCAATACTTATTAAGTACGATGAGGATGAGCAATTTATAATCAAACAGCGCCAAAATGGACGAACAGGCTGTATGGTAGGTATTGATAAAAAAGAAGAACTAATGGAAAAAATACGACAGCTAAGGATAGAACAAGAAAACAAAAAAAAACGCAAATCTGCAGGTATTGGCATTTCTTCTACTTCAGGTATGTCCATCAAAAGTACTAATATAAAAAAAAATCCATTTATTTTTATGAGTATCGAACCGTGAACAGTGATGGTATGATGTATCATTTTATCCAATCGACTACAGTTCCTAACTTATAAATTTTATATTTAAGTCATATGAATAAAAATATAAGCTTTTATAAAATAACAAAAATTTTTATACATTGTATTGTAATATTTTAGCGGAATTTGATATTTCCGATTCTGAAAATTGTTCATCTGATTCATAAATTGATTGCATCGAAAAAGAAATAGTTCAAAAACAAGAAATAAAAATATATGAAAATCCCACAAAAACGCTCCGCAAAGAATTATTAACCTCTCGACTATCTGCAGCTTTGGATAGATGTAACGTTAGTGGTCGAGATTGTATACATTTAATAATGGCTTTTTTGGATGCTGTATCTCTAGATCCATCGTCTTATGTTTTAAATTGGACATCAATTGCAAAACAACGGGAACAATTTCGAAAAAAAAATTACATAAGAATTAAAGAAAAATTTTCTCAGATTAATGATAAAATAGTAACAATTCATTGGGATACTATATTATTACATGATATAAGTGGCAAACCAGTTGAAAGATTGGCTGTAATTGCTACAGGTACTGGTACTGAACAACTTTTAGGTGTTCCAGAAATACATGCTGCTACCGGACTTGAAATGTCATCAGCTGTATATGATAAGTTGAGACTCAATAAAAAACGTCCAAGCAATTGGATTTGACACTACAGTGTCAAATACTGGCAGTATAAAAGAATCATGCATATTATTGGAACAAAATTAGAAAGGGATTTATTATATTTTGGCTGCCGACATCACGTATCAGAAATAGTATTAGCAGCTGTATTTGGGAAATCTAAATTTTCAATTTCTGGGCCTGATATCCCACTATTTAAGAGGTTCCAAGTTAATTGGTCCCAAGTAAATACAAATAATTTTGTTTTAGGCATAAATAGTATTGAAATAAGAAGTGTTGTTGGTGATAACTTGGATAATATTTTGAATAATTATAATATTGCTATTTATAAAAAATATCTTCGTGAAGACTATCGTAAGTTTATTGAACTTGCAATCATTTTTTTGGGAGGTATACCCCCGTAGGTATACAATTTAAGAAACCAGGAGACTATCACATGGCAAAGTGGATGGCTAAAGCCATATATGCATTAAAAATTTATTTATTTCGTACTGAGTTTAATTTAACTAAAAATGAAGAAAAATCATTAACTCTATTTACATGTTTTATTGTAAAATGTAACATTATATATTGGATTTATGCACCAGAGTCAATACGTGCACCATTAAATGATATTCAGTTTTTACAAAAATTGTATCAATATAAAGATATTGATTAAAATATCTCTGACATAGCTATTGGAAAGTTAGTCAATCATTTACACTATTTAACAAACGAATGTATAGCTTTTTCATTGTTTGAAGGTAATATAAGTTGTTGTTTGTTGATACTAAAATCAAAATGATAAAACAAATGACAACACTTGCTGAAATTGACGAAGACAATAAAGACTACCAAAAAAAAAAGCTGTCTTTAAATTTAAATGAAGTACCTTTATTTTTAGAAAAATTTGATGGTGATGTATTAATATCCCTGTTTAATGAACTTTAAAAGAATATTTTTCAACGATACAAAATTAAAATTTTCTACTTATACACACATCTCAGTTATCAAGTCTCACGAATACCAACAAGGTAAACAATTCAGTAAACGATTCAGCTCAAAGGGGCATAAAACTTATATAAGATTTAAATAAAAGTGTAACAAGGAACGAATCACAAAAACAGTTATTGTTACAAGTATATATATATATTTCTTTAAAGGTTACTTAAAATTATTTTTAACAATATTTCTTTTAGGTGATACAAGGTTATAGAACTCGATACTCTCAGGCAACAAAAAAAGTTTTGAATCAGACGTATAATAAATAAATTCTTTGATTTTAATAGTAAATCATATAGAATATATACATATAAATATAACCGCATTTTTTTTTTTAAGTGTTTGGTAAAAGTATTGGGCAATTATTTTGAATATTTTTATCAATACTTCAAATATTATCAATTTTAAGCGAAATTATCTAATAACCTTTTTTATTTAAAAAATTATTTTAAACAAATATTATGTTAACATTTTTTTTATAATGCAAAAATTTAACTACATAATTCCAAAAAACCAAATAATTGGAAATTTTTATAATTAACGAGTATTTTCGAGTTTTATTATTTTAACCAAAAAGTATTAACTAAACGCAAAATTTTAAGAACAGTTTTTTTATAGAAAATTACAAAAGCTACAATATTATATATAATAATATTTTTCGTTAAACTATGTCTGTAGCCTAAAAATGTAAAACACTGGAATTTTTCGTATTTTTCCAAAACTTTTAGCTTTATGTGTGCCAGTTAATTAAGGAGTATATAGCTCAAATTTTTTAAAGATTACAATTTAAAAAATTAAAATAACCGATTGATAACGAATCTTTTTAAAATTTTTATTTCAAAATGTATAAATATTTTGATTTTTAGAGTAAGAAATGTAGTTAAAAAGTCTATAAATATATATTTTATCAAATATGAATTTTTATAATTATCATGCAATATTTTATTTTTTTAAATAATACAAAGTAATTCTTTTATCATGAATTAATAAATTAATAGAAATTTAAATCATAGAATTTTTTTGGGGGGTTTTCTTAGTTACACATAGTGTGTGTGCGGCTATAGTTCAGAAAGTTTTGAGAATTTTTATCTTAGATTTCTTGTTGGTCATTATTTAAAAAAATATTTGGTGGTTTCTTTTATTGAGTTTGTAAGCCTTAAAAAACCCTATGTAAAATTATTATTAATCAATAAAAATCTTAAAATAATTAGTTTTTATATTTTATTTATATTTCATTTAATTTTCCAGATCAACCTTTGCATACACCAAGTAATAAAATTTTTAAATAAATATTATCAATATTTTTTTATTTTTACATATCAAGTATAAATATTTGAAAAGCATATCAATATATTCCTTAACTAATGATAGCAAATCCGAATTTTGATTTGTTATTTCATATATTTTTTCATTAAGCATTACTATCCTCTTATTTTCTAAAATAAACTTATTTTTTTTTTAATCTATATGCAAATTTAAAATTAATTTTGTCAATTAATAATTAAAATCAATTATGCGGTTTATGAATAGGCTCAAAACTATTATACATTTCAATTCTTATTATACTTTAACATTAATTCTTTTAAATCGAAAAAAGTTATACTTAACACTTTATAGATATTGCGAGAAGCCTTGTTAAAATATCATCCAAAATATAATATCCAAAAGCTACATGACCTGCTAGTTCCTTTTTAATATCATGATAAAGATAAAGTATGTCGAATGAAAGAGAAATATAAATATTATTTCTCATAAAAAAATTGTATTGATCCATATACTTTTCAATAAGTTATAACATTATAAAGTTAAAAATGTAAAATATAAAATCTATTATTTTCATACAAAAATAGCATTCGGTAGCCATTTTCACCGTGAAGATAAAATAAAGTCCGAAATTATATTTTTCATAATAAATTCTATTACATTAGCTTTAATTTAAGATAAAAATGTCAGACTTTCCAGACACTTTTAATTGTTAAGTTGAAAAAGTAATTTTTTTGTGAAAAAGTTGTCATTTTGAATACCCTTGTGGGCAGGTAAAGGGTCAGATTTATAAACAAAATATACAAAATAATAGGTAAATACCTCTTGTATCTATAAAAAAAAATTATATTAATTCGTACATTTTTGAAAAAGTTATGGCAGTTTTAAGTAAAATAAATGGAAAAAATATAGAAAATTAGCGATTTTAAAATTTGTAACTTTTTTGGAAGTTTCCCTCATTTCCGAAGTAACGAGAGAAATTTTTTAAATTTTTTAAAGTAATTTCTTCGACTAGATACGATTTGTGATTTTTTGACGTATCGTTGAAAGAAATTCGTTTGGTAAGAGCTGAGAAAAAGTGGTAACAGACACAAAAAAAAAATACACCTTAGTAAAACCAATATATTTTCTAAAGAGTGTAAAAAATACTAATTTTGAATTTTGAACTTTAAAAGTACCAAATTTTTGTATAATATAAGCCTAATTTAAAACCCCTCTAATCCTCTATAATAACAAAATATTTAAAAAATAGTAACAGTTTTAAATTCAGTGAACTAAAAAATATATAAATTAATGTATCTAAACCAATTTTTGAACCTCCTGACTCCACTTTAAAAAAAGTTTATCGAAAAATTAGTATCATTATTGAATTCATTGACTTTAAACAAAAAAAAAAAACTGAACATTTTTATTGCTGAAGATTAAAATTTAGCTTGTATTTATCTTGAGGAATTTTTTGATTCTAAAACACTGTGTGGTTTATGTGCATTCTGTCATTCATGTGCGTGTATCTTACCAAAAGTTGAATGCCTTGTATTAAATAATAAAATTGAACTTATTTGTTACAACCAGTACTTGAAATATTTTCTACTATTATTTTGTAAAAAAATTTTTTTTTTTTTGCTCAACATAGAATTTTTTTCACTTAGTAATTGTGAAACACCAGTATGAGAATTATACTTAATACTTTATTCCATGACAGAATATGCGTATTGCAATAAAAATTAAAGTATATAAGATAATTCTCCTACAGAAATTTCTACAAATCCAATGAAAAAAAATCATGTTGAGTAAAAAAAATTACTTATTTCCTCATAAAATAAAATAAAAGTTATGGCAGTTTTAAGTAAAATAAATTGAAAAAATAAAGAAAATTACGATTTTTAAATTTGTAATGTTTTTGGAGACTTCCCCCATTTACGGAAAACGAGGGAAATTTTTGAAGGTAATGTCTTCGACTAGAAACAATTTGTGATCTTTTGACGTATAGTTGAAAGAAATCGGTTCGGTGAAAGCTGAGTAAAAGTGGAAACAAACACATCATAATAAAACTAATACCTTCTCAGCTTCGCATCGAAGCGGAAAGCTTAAATTGATTTAGTTTTGATATTTTATTTATTTTTCAGATTCACATATGCTAATACCAAGTAAATATATTTTTAAATAAATAATATGAACAGTTATTTTACTTATCAGGAATAAATATTTGAAAAATCATATCAACTTATTCCTTAACAGAAGATAGTAAATCAAAATTTTCATTACTTATTTCTTAGTTTTTCTCTCTTAATACTTCAATTTAAATAATTGCCACATAAATTGTATCTGATAATTAACTATACATATTTAGTAAATTAAATTTGATAAAGATATATTACAAAAACATAATTATAACTATTTATTATTCGTCAACTACGTCCATGACTCTTGATATTCTTCTTTGTGGATAGGAAAAATTAGTTTGTATGGTATCTATGTATCTGGGTTTAAAGTGTATTTGAACTAATAAAAAAGAATCTCATAATTCCTTTTTTTAATCCTTGTTAAATTTTTACCTTCAATTATTTAGTAATATAAATTGTGATCTGTTTATTCAATATTAATAAAAACACTTTGTTTTAATTAAATCAATATGAAAATTTATTAACATAATTGAGGAATCATATTACACGCATACTTGTACGTTAGATTATTTGTATATTGAATCTTATTGAATTATATGCCCCTTTTTTTTATAATCAATCAAACATAAATAAATGAGTAACAATTACAATCTTTAAGACAAATGTATAAAATAGATAATCGCAGTCTATATCATGTTTATAAAATAAAATACAGAAACATAACAATAAGCAAAATTGATTAATACTAAATTAATAAATAAATCAAAATAAAAATTTAATTGATTGAAACCTTGTAACTATGTTGGTTTTTTTTTAATATTTTAAAAACTCTTCTTTTTCAATTTTGACAAATTGCCTAAACCTTCAAAAGTAATCAAATGTTTATCATAAACTTTTCTTTTTCACAAATAGTTACTTATCAACCAGAATTAATAATCCTAACCTATTACAGGAATTATACCTATTATTAGATCTCGCCCTATTAAAGGCTTAATGTTATCATTATTGATTACTACAAATGAATCTTTTCCACACTTCCTTTTATAATGCATTAATCTTTAATTTTACCCATTAAATTTAGCCAAAACATCCATAGACCTGTTCGTTAATACCATGATCAACAATATTTTTAACATTTAATTAAAAAATTGCCTTTTAAAATGATCAAGTTCATTTACAAATGACACAGTAATACCAATATAAAATTTGGTAACTTTACTGACATTTTTTTATATGTGTTAATCGCCTATTAATTAGATAATTCACAATCTTAAAGAAATCTTTCTATCCTACTGACTGCACTATGTTTCGTATTTTTTTTATTTAGTATAGCTAAAAACTCTTTATTTTAATTAAAATTTTTATTATAAACATAACTAAAGCATCATATTACACGCATGCTTATACATAGTAGCTCTACATTCACTGAAAACTTATATAACTTTTGACCTAATTAATATTTTTAACTGATTGTTTTTAATTAACAGTTATACGTTAGGTTTATAATTATATCTCAATAATTTGCATTTTGACATTTTATGAAACATATTAATTATTTTTAAATTTTAAATATATGTAAAAAAAATCGAAGTTAGCTAATTTTAAGAGTAGTTTTTAAGAATAATTTTGGCAAAAAATTATGTTATTAATATTCAGAATTAAAAACTCTGTATCATTTTAAATTTTGTGAAAATTTGAATTTTCATGTAATATTTTACGGTAATAAACATTGAAATACATGTTAAGACAAGGACAGAAGACAAGATAAGTAGTTTTATCTCTATATAGATAAAATAACTTATTAAATAACAGCTATAGTTCGTGTTTTTATTTGAACTAAAGCCGGTTTTTGGAATGTTAATAATTTTCATGGAAAAATCCTTATTCATATCATAATTAGTAAGAAAAGATTGTATTTACTTCTGTACTTTTTTATAAAACATAATTACATGATATCATAGAATAAATACAGAAAAATTCAAATTATTATAAAATGTTAAATGTTATAGAAAATTAACTAACAAACATTAATGAGAATTTTTTTTCACCAAATTATTTATTAAAATCAATTCTATAAATGGCCATTTTGAAATTTTTCATAAATTTTTAAAGTTAAATTTTTTTTTGTCTAATTATAGAAATGATAATAATTACAATATGATTTTAGCTCACAAATATATTAACTAGTGATGGGAAATATCGAATAGAAACTATCGAACTATTCGATAGTTGTCCACTATTCGAACTACTCGATAGTCATTCAAAAAATATTCGAATAGTAAAAATATTCGATAGTTACACAATATATTCGAATAGTTTTAAAAACTATTCGATAGTTTATGCTAAAAATAAACTATTCGGTTGTATAAACACAATTTGAATTGTTATACGATAATATGGGCATTTTCGCATATTTTAAACTATCGAATAGTATTCGATAGTTTTAATAATTATTAGAATGGGTTACCCAATGGTTTCAAAAATATTTGATTAGTTCTACCTAAAATTTTTATTAAGTACACTTTATTATAATAAAAAGATAATTAACAAATTCAATTATTATACAATTAATAATAGTAAAAATTAGTAATGGTCATTTTCAAATATTTTAAACTATCGATTAATTATTCGAATTGTGTTTATAAAACCGAATAGTTTATTTTTAGCATAGACTATCGAATAGTTTTAAAAACTATTTGAATAGACTTTTGAATAATTAACTACTCGAAAATATTGTGTAACTATCGAATATTTTTTGAATGACTATTGAATATTTCAAATAGTGGACAACTAGAGAATAGTTCATTAGTTACTATTCGATATTTCCCATCACTAATAAAAATAATAGGACAGGTGCAAGATCGAAACATCAACTAACGAATGAACGGTTAAATTAAAATGTACAATCAAAAAGGTACACGAGTAGGGACTATTACATAACATATAAACTTACAAACAATAAACACTCAAGCGACATAAAAAAGGTAACACTGGCTGACTAGATAAGGTGGTATCTGAGAGCAGCTATAATACTCAAACTTATTTACGGATAGGAAAAGTTAGTTTGAATGATATTTATGAGTCTAGGTTTAAAATATATTTGAACTATGTTACATTTGTTTTTTTTAAGAATTCCTTTTTAAAAAATTTACTATAATTTAAATAATACTCAAATTTATACATATTATCGAGCTTCATAAAAATAATACCTTCTCAGCTTCGCATCGAAGCTAAAATACACAGATTAATGTCAAAAAAAAACAATACATTGTATTATAATATAATGTACTTATATTTTCAAAAATCTTAAACTCATCATAATAGGTCATTGACCATATTTTGATACAACATATTTATTCCCAATCTTTTTCATTTTTATAATTTCTCTGTATTTATAAATAATATATTAATTTTTTAGACGCTCCTAAGAAGAATATAGGTAACATCTGATAATATAATTAGTAATATAATGACTTATCAAATTTAATTAAATGTTTAAACTTAACAAAAAATTCCCCTTAATAGGTTCAGTTGCATTAAAATCAAGTTATTTTGAAATATAGAACATCAACATCTGATGTTAACAAAATCAAATGTATATATATTGTTTTATATTTTTCCTATTTTAATTCTTCAATTTCAATTAGTATCACACAAATTGTATTTGATAACTAACTATATATAGTAGTAATTTGATAGGGATATACTACGAAAGCATAAGTATAACTATCTATTATTCGTTAGCTAGGTCAATTCTCTCTTGTGATTTTCATTTACAGATAGGAAAAATTAGTTTGTATGATATTTATGAATCTAGGTTTAAAGTGTATATGAACTATCTTACATTTTTTATTTTAAGAAATATTTTTTAAAAATTTACCATAATTTTAGTAATATTCAAATTTATAAACATTATCGAATATCCTAAAAATAAAATATACAGTTTAATGGCTAGAAAAAAGTGTCTTATTTTTAAAAAACCTTAAATTCATGTTAATAGGACATTAACCATTATAATTAATTTTGAGATTTTTGCTTGACCTATGTAGCTCTTTAATAGTTTACATTTTTATAGTTTCTCTGTGTTTATAAATAAATTTTAATTTTTCAGAAGTTAATTTGAAGAAGAGAGGTAAATTTTAATAATATAATTAGTAATAAAAATGCGCTGGTGTGATAGCAAACCAAAATTTCATACATTGTTTTTTTCTATCTTAATACTTTAATTTTAATAATTCTAGTACTCTTTTTCGTGCTTTGTTTATTTAATACAACAAAAACGATTTCTTTAAATTAAATCATTATAAACATTTATTAACATTACTGAGGAGTCACATTACACGCATACTTGTATATTTTATTATTTGTTCATTGAATCTTATTGAACCGTATCACACGTGTTCATTTTTTCTTTTCATTTTTTGATCAGCTGTCACACAATACCTCCATAGACCTGTGCCTTTTTGTCTAGTTCATCAAATATTAATTCAATAGTCTCATGGTTTAAATTAAATGTTTCAACCGTTGAGTAAGATTCCCCACCAAAGCCGCTTATTAAATGAGCAACTTTTACACACTAATTTTTTTATTGAGCTCATTTGCATTAATCTAATTAAAACATGTCTTTTGAAATTATTAAATTCATTCACCGATGACTCAGCAATACCAATATTTTATTTTTGTAGCTTTACTGACATTTTTTTATCCGTATCAATCGGTTTTTTTAGAATCCTTTTAGAAACTCAAAACTTTTGATTTGAAATCTTATATGATAACTTTTCTTGGTTCTTAAAAAATCTTAAGTCATAGTATGTATCAATGGTTGAAAAATATAATGACACATTCGATTTAGTTCATAACTTAAATAGGTAAGAACTTCGACAATCATGATCACAACGTTATCGTAACGTAGTCAAGTGCACGAAAAGAATTTATAAATGTAAGGGTTTGCTATATTTTTTTATAATACTTTGTATCAACAAAAATCATTATTTACTCATTCTCATAATATAACGGTTTATTAATAATTAAGTACAAAATATAAAAATTATTATAGATGTACAAATAGTATACAAATCAATTTAACATTTTATATAACATTAATATAAATTTCATATTTAAGATTAATGTTCATATAATGCGCTTAATTATTAAAATTCGAATAAAAGAGATGGAAAAAATAATTTATAGATTTCTTCTCGGAAATAACGATTATTAAAGTGACTATTAATCGATTTAGGATTTAATCGCGTGTATTATAATATAAGTAAACAGTATACATTTGTTGGGTATTTCTATAAGTTGTTTATTTAATTAGTTTGCTTTAAAAAAAAATGATGTTCTTCGAAGAATATGAATATAAAGTTTGTCGTATCTCAAACCAAGTCATGTTGCATCGTCATGCTATTCAAACTTGATGCGTAAAAAGTGCGAAAAAAAATTCTGCACTATCTTATACATGGATCAATCTGCGACTTCTACTTAGTGAAGTGTTGATCAAACAGGTGATATGCCGCTGCAATTTTCAGGTACCTCATATGCACAAAGTACCGTATTAGGTACTCTTGCTGTGCGTGTTCGCAACAACACCGACTCTTACCAGCGTGTGTGTGTTATTGGACAGTGGGCCTCAAAAATCAGCGATTATGTGTTTAATTCATCATAATAGGACATTGACCATTATTGTCAAAATTGAAATTTTTGCTTGACTTATTTGGCTACCCAATATTATGCATTTTATTGCTCTTCTGTGTTTATAAAGGAAATATCAATTTTCCAGCGTATGATTCACAGGAAGAAGGTAAATTTTGACAATATAATTAGTAAAATGATTTATCAAACACACTTTTATTCTTAAATAATACAAAACAAAAAAATAAGATTTAAATCTTATTAAATTAAATTTTATATTTAATTATATTATTTAAATAATAATATAATTAAATAATATATAAAAGTTTTTTTTATCTAATACCTTGACTTTTAGTCATTAATTCAATTTTTATTTTCAGGAGAACGACCTGAATGGACCAGTGTTACAAAAAAATTGATTTTTGATTAATTAATTGAAGTTTATTATTTTGGTTATTATCGTGTTAAGTTATATTATTGTGTTTATTTGTAACATTTACAACGAAAGTTTTAATAAATTTATCATTAAACCGGTTAAATAAATAACTTTAAAAAAATTAATTTAAGTGTGCTATTATTGAATATTAAAACATAATACGACACGGTCGCCCATCGCTTCATGATACTCCGCAACCCATGGCACCGTTATCAGTCGTCGCACTACTATGTACAATACCGCGTGCTATACGTGACGGTGCAAAATACAGCAAGTGCAGCATGGCCAACGACGATCCGCCACAAATGATACGTTGAGACTTTTTCCGTTATCGAAGTGACAACGTCAAGGATGTGCGCCACCGGTTCCGAACGTGTCGTGCGACCAAACCATGGCGAACACTGCGTCGCCGACGCCAGCGAAAGTGGCGCAATATTATGCGAATATTATTATTCATTCATCTTTTCGGTTTGTTTTTTAAATAACCTGTTGCTGCACAATTAATTAATAAACAACCTACGCGTTTCTATATAACCCAACTGGATATATTAGAGCACTTTTCAAACAAAAGAGTGGAATTAAAATTTATTCCCTTACATTTGCCTCATTTTGGACTATAAAAATAAATTATTTTAACTATTAGGACAGTCATTCAATTGTAAGTCTAAGATTGTAAAATCGATAGTAATACCAAATTTAATTATTTTAAAATAAATAAATTATAAGAACATTTTTTGAACTTTATTTAAAATTACAATTAGAAAAGATTGAGAGGGTCTCCAAATTGTTCAGCAATAATCTTAGTATTGATCAAACCAAGGCGCAATATAAAACATTTAATATATCGCCACTCATACATAAAATTTGTTCTTTAACAATATTTCTACTAATAGGTAAATCTTGAATACGTTTTATTATTTAATTTTTATTCGCAAAATCACAAAAGAAAGTATTTGATGTCATTAATAAAAATTTTTTTATGTATTCTCCATTGGAAACTGGTTTACCATGATGTGTAATACAGTGGGATATAGAAAAACTAGCAGCTGTTAAATTATTATTTGGTTTAAACGCAGCTTCGAAATTATTTGATTGATTTTTAAAACGTTTCAATTTTTGCGAAATTAATTCCAACTTTTCTTCAGTTAATAAAGAAAATATGTCCGTATGACTTGTTTCAAAATGTCTTTTACATAAAAACTGCGACCAAATACTGTTTCATTACATAAGCAACATAACGCTTTTACTATTTAAACAGTACATTGTTCGTGAAATGATCTCCCACTTTTACTTTTTGACATTTATTAAAAACATAACCTTTGAATTATTATAAAAATAATCCTCGCCAATAATGAAAACTGCCAAAACGATGCATTCAGACAAATCAAAGGCAACGATAAAATTTAATACATGAAACACATTTGATTCCACGAATGAGTAATGACTAACGCTAGCCGTGGACCAGTTTTACACGTTATATAAATATATATCTAATAAAGTTCTTATCGAATAAGATTTTCTTATCGAAATGTAATAAAATTAATTGTTTTTGAGTAATGTAGATATTCAATTGAATGCGTGTAGGTAAAATACCATAAATTTAATATTTCATTTTCGTAATCTCAATTTATTTTAGTCTACGTCCTACTACCAGTGGTTTTTGATGACATACTTTTACACAGTTGCGTGTGTCACTAAAGTAGTGTGCGCGTGTCTAGGTTCGCCATCTCTGGTAAACACGATGCCCCGCGACTCGTGCCACCTTTTAATTAGCCGTTGCCCTTCTATAAGTATTTGACTGACCAACACCGTGTGCCATACGCTACAGTTCAAAGTCCAGCAATTGCCACACGGTCGACGACGACTTCCCGCAAATGATACGTTGAGTCTTCTTCCCGTTGTCAACGTGACAACGTCGAGGATGTACGCCACCAGCTCCGAACTTGCCGCACAAACGGACTCGACGAACCGATCCGCACATGCGCACCGTCGCCAACAACGCTGCTAACTTTTTGACGCCGAGGTTCATACTGAACTTTGCGTCGTTGACACCAGCGAATAGTGCCGCAAAATCATGCGAAGATTATTATTTCTGTGTATGTCTTTTCGGTTTGTTGGTTTTTGTTTAAATAATCTGTTGATATAATTTTATTTAATATATATAATTAATAAACGGCCCGCGTGTCTCTACCCTCAAAACCAGTGTCGACTAAGTTATTGTAACGTAAGTCATGTCGACTGGCTCCTCGGCGGGGAATCCAACCCCGGTCTCTCTCGTGATAGGAGGGGATACTTACCATTATACTACCGTGTCATGAAATTTGGTATATTTTACACATGTAGATCATCACACTCTGTGAATTATATTTTACGATAACAGTCCACTCACGAGTTTAACATCATTGTAAAATTAAGGATATAAGAGGTGCAAGTCGCTTTTGGAATAATCCATCAATTTCTTAAATTTAAACACTATCTACAGATTTTCATCGAAACGTTCCTTATGGTAGTGATTTCAATCACTGTCAGATATCATCTATACTTGTACCAACTATGCCATGTCCACACCATGGTTCAACCACATGTAATATTCTCCTTTGGAATATTAATAAAATCAATACCTGTTTTATTTCTAAAACCACAGAAAAGAATACGCTGACACGATTACACATATAATTTTGTGTCGCGGTTTGTTTTGCCGCACTCGCGGGATGTTATAATTTTAGGAAAAGTACAACACGTTAATGGTTTAAAGTGAACGTAGTAATATTTTATTGGCGTTTCGACAACACTATATATACGTTATATCAGAAAAACAGAATGTAGTAAACTAATAATGACAAATATCAATATATATATATATATATGTATAAAGGCACAATGTTCGTAGCGGTGTGTTCGGCGTTGTTGAACAGACGACGAGTGATCCGATCGGTAAGGTGTCACGAAGAAGACTTACTGGACGTATTATTGCGGCGGGGTATTCGACGCTAGGCATTTGTTGGACTTTACACCACGACGATAACGCGTGTGTGTAACGGTCCGGTTTACAGTGAAGCGGTGGCTGAGAAGGAGCTGATACGACCGCGGGGTGTCAACGTGTGACAACGCCGTGGCCGTGTCATTTGACTTTTGCAAACTATAAAGTAGACGTGAGTCATTGTCTTTCATGCCGTCTTCGAAGCACCACTTAAGTACTAAAAAAGGAAATTTAAATACGATAACTCTTTTACGTTTATTGAAATAAAGAATGATGACTGAATATGCCTATAAAAAGTATGATACATTCAAGACGCCCAATCCTCGTTTATGACTTTTGTGGTACATTATATAAAGGCTGAAGACACTGTTTTTCTAGTCAGTCAATCTTTCATCTTTCTTGTCCACATTTCTCACTTAATAATGTCAAGTTAACCAATTTAATATTATTCCAAACTTACTCAAGCGTATTCTTTATACTGTTTGTCTTTAGACTTAACTTTTAACACTAAATTTAAAATATACTTTTGTTAAAATAATTAACACTTTCTATAATAATAAATACGCTTTTATCAACCAAATACGATTTTCAGAACAAATGCATTTTACCACCCCATCGAGTTTTTTCAATTTTTTTTTTTTTTAACGTGTGTTTTTCAATGCTTTTTTCAAAATAAACTTTATGAATAAATAAATAAAATTACATTATGTATAGTCACCCTCACTATCGTTAATATTTCTTTTGGTTATTACACACACTATCCAATTTCATTAAAATATTAAAGAAATATATAAAAAAAACCCAGCACAGTGGCATTGCGGCTTAGTAGGGACGTGGCATAGTTGGGTCAAGTATAGATGATATCTGACAATGAATAAAATTACTATTATAAAAAAATCTTCGATGCAAATCTGTAGATAATGATTATTTTTAAAAAAATTAATGGATTATTCTAATAGCTACATGATCTGCTATAACCTTATTTATATCATGATAAAGATAAAGTATGTCGAATGAAAGAGAAATATAAATATTATTTCTCATAAAAAATTGTATTGATCCATATACTTTTCAATAAGTTATAACATTATAAAGTTAAAAATGTAAAATATAAAATCTATTATTTTCATACAAAAATAGCATTCGGTAGCCATTTTCACCGTGAAGATAAAATAAAGTCCGAAATTATTTTTTTCATAATAAATTCTATTACATTAGCTTTAATTTAAGATAAAAATGTCAGACTTTCCAGACACTTTTAATTGTTAAGTTGAAAAAGTAATTTTTTTGTGAAAAAGTTGTCATTTTAAATACCCTTGTGGGCAGGTAAAGGGTCAGATTTATAAACAAAATATACAAAATAATAGGTAAATACCTCTTGTATCTATAAAAAAAAATTATATTAATTCGTACATTTTTGAAAAAGTTATGGCAGTTTTAAGTAAAATAAATGGAAAAAATATAGAAAATTAGCGATTTTAAAATTTGTAACTTTTTTGGAGGTTTCCCTCATTTCCGAAGTAACGAGAGAAATTTTTTAAATTTTTTAAAGTAATTTCTTCGACTAGATACGATTTGTGATTTTTTGACGTATCGTTGAAAGAAATTCGTTCGGTAAGAGCTGAGAAAAAGTGGTAACAGACACAAAAAAAAAACACACCTTAGTAAAACCAATATATTTTCTAAAGAGTGTAAAAAATACTAATTTTGAATTTTGAACTTTAAAAGTACCAAATTTTTGTATAATATAAGCCTAATTTAAAACCCCTCCAATCCTCTATAATAACAAACTATTTAAAAAATAGTAACAATTTTAAATTCATTGACCTAAAAAACATATAAATTAATGTATCAGTAGTTCTATAAAGTCTGAGCTGGATACCCCCCAAAACGGCCCCGGCCGTTTCCTCTCCCTAGGTGGACAACCTGTGTAAACGGCCGAGGAGATATGGTGAAAGGCATAGTCCCCCCACCCACATGATGTAGGTTTACCCAGTCCTAGGTGGACGGGACGGTGCAAACGGCCGGGGGGATATGGTGAACGGCATAGTCCCCTCACCCACCCACATGATATGTGTTTACCCAGTCCTAGGTGGACGAGCGGTGTAAACGCCCGGGGAGATATGATGAAAGGTCGATGTTTCTCGTTCCTAGATAGCATTTCGTTATATCATGGTATATGTTACCATGGTATATGCATAATATACCTAGGTAGATGGAACATCATATAGTATATCTTGATATATTACAGAAAATTAGAGGTATTTTAAAAATTACATAATTTTAGAATTATATGAAAATATTTGAATGCAAAAAAGTGAAAGCCTTTGATCATAGAGAGTTCCTTGACTAACGTAGTTATTAAAACAGTAAATCAGCGGTTTACCCCAACATAGAAGGAGAGGTGATGATGAAACTCATCATAAGGTGATCATTATTATGATATTTATTAGTAAATAAATAAATATGTATAATATTATACTATTTCATAAGAATTGAGTTATTTTGTAATTAAAGAGAAAATATTTAAAAATCGATAGTTTAAATTAATTATTATGATATTAAGTTACATTATTGCGTTTGTTAATAGATATATTTTAGCTTCGATGCGAAGCTGAGAAGGTATTGGTTTTTTTTTTTTTGTTAATGTGTAAACGTTATTGGATAAAACATATGTATA